TAGCTGTATCACTGTTACTTATAGTGTACTAAGAAGGCTATGCTATCTGTAACAATATGTATTTTTATTTAATTAAATTAATTATTATATAATAAAGAATTAATAAATCAATAATTATATTGATAAAAATTTGTTATTGTTATAAATATTCATTATTAATTCAACTATTGAACTAAGGTTGAACATCAACTGATAGTTTACTGATTTTTCATAAAATTCAACTGCTAAATGTATTCTGAATTATCTTAAAAATCAGCTACTGATTGTTTTAGCTGATTCGATATGAATTTACTAGTCGAACTTAGGATGATTCTTAGCTAATTTCTATTGGAAATTAGTACTTAAAAGTATGCTAATTTTTCATAAAATTCAACTACTAAATGCTTTTCAAATTATCTTAAAAATTAGCTACTGATTGTTTTAATCAATTCGACATGAATTCATTTATTGAACTTAGGATGATTGAAGGCTAAATTTTATTAGAAATTAGTACTTAAAATTTAACAAAAATACTAATTATAAGTTGATTTCCAATAGAAATTAGCCTTCAATTACTCTAATTTTAACAGTCGAATTCATGTCGAATTAGCCAAAACAATTAGTAGCTGATTTTTATATATTTGACTAGTGATTATAATATTTACTTATACTTAAAAATTTAAGAATTTAAAAAACTAATAAACCAAATTATTTAAGAATAGACAATTTATTGTGAGTTGGATGAAGAATTTCTAAATTCTAAAGAATTTGATTTAGATTTTTACTAGTAAGAAAAAATTCAAAATTTATCTAATTTGTCAAAATTAGCTTTGGTTTATATTTGGCTTTCTGTATTAGATATGGATGTGAAAAGAAAAAATTCAAAATTTATCTAATTTGTCAAAATTAGCTTTGGTTTATATTTGGCTTTCCGTATTAGATATGGATATGAAAAGGAGTTTTTTTGTATATAAAGAGATTCTTGATAACAAATAACATAGACTTTCAGAAGCTTCAGTTGCAGCATTAAACTTCATGTATTTTAACAATAATAAGTAAATTAAAAGGTACTATTTGTTACTACTTGTTATTTCATATATAACAATAAAATATCATTTACTTAAATCATTTTATTTTAATAACTCTATATTCGCTAATGAATGGTTGTTATGGTAAGCATAATTTTAGCATAATTTTATCTAATTCGCATAATTTGCATAATTTAGTATAATTTACTAAATAAATTATCGCATAATTCGCATAAATAACCTAGTAGAAATGGCAGATTTTAAGGTTTGTCACCGGTATCCCTAGCGCTAGTGAACCCTCTAAAAAAAGCAATATACTATGCAAATCATATAAAACTTAATCTACATATATAAAATTGTGACAGATAGCTTATTTTGTTATGTACTATTTATACGTAATACAAAAGAACTATTACATATCGATATATTTACTTAAATTATATTATATTCTTAAATCCTTTTTATAGTACGTATATAAAATTTTTATATAAAATTATCTAATTAGAAGCTAAAGAGAATATGGCTTTCTTAACTGTTAATAAAAGAAGGTTACGTAATACACACGCAATTCTACGCAGTATAATTACTAGCTGCTACGTAGTACGTAGTAAAAAAAAAAAACAATATCGATATGACTGATTATACCAGATTAGATTCTTAAACTTTATCGTAATATTGTTTGTGTTGTTTGTGCTATATATAATACCTACTTTGTTTTGTAAAGATCTACTTACATTTATATAAATGTGATACAAAGAAATTAAATCAATTAGTGATATGATATCATTGCGCATAAGTTGAAGGGGGTTACTTTGAGAAACCAAAGGTTTCTGTTATGAGATTGTTGGTTCGATTTAATAAATCTACCGTAACGATCTGTTATCTGTTAGCAACTAGTTCATAAAATTTTGTAAAAGAACTATGCCTTCCACACCGAAAGTAGCAACAGCTTCAGTATGTTTTATTAATAGTCAGAGATTCAAGTTTTCGCGTTTAGTTTTGTTCGCTCAAAAAATTATTTTTATATTTAACCATCTGTAATAATATGTTTTTTTTGGCTTTCTAGGATGGAGAAGGGGACGCGGACGAATTTTCTACGTCGTCTTCAGATCTTATTGATCATGAAACATTTGACCAACTACTTGAAATGGATGACGACGTTGATCAAAATTTCTCGAAATCTATAGTCGAGCATTACTTTGAACAAGCAGAGTCAACGTTTAAAGATATGGATAAAGCACTGTAAGTAGTCAATTCATAATAATAATTCAAAAATGTAATTGTACGTTATAAGAAAGTTGCTGTAGTAGCCACGAGATTAAGCGAATCGAGACAACCATTGGAGTTATTCTTTTTAATACTTAATAGATCAAAATAAATGAATCTGAGACTGATGAAAGGCAAGAAAATAAGGGTATATTTGAAACTTTTGATTTCAGGTGATATAATCTACGTTTCGATGTTTTTTTGAATATTATAGTCATTTTCGACAATGCGAAATTATATTTGAGTGTCAAGTGTAATTTTAGCAAATTTGGTACATACAAATAAATTTAGAAATGATGAAGTATGGTTAAATCTTCAGGGATGCATGTTGCTGAAGCAAATTATATATTGTTTAATTATAACATTGAATAAGATTTCTGATAGATTATTTCTTTTATGTTATCTGTGGTATTTATTAGGAAAGAAGAAAATCTTATTGAATTATCAAAACTAGGTCATTTCCTGAAAGGAAGCTCAGCCGCTATCGGTTTAAAGAAGGTTAAAGCATCATGTGAAAAGATGCAACATTTTGGAAATATGAAAGATGAGGCTGGCACAGAAAGCATTTCTGAAGAAGAGGCACTATCAAAAATTTCGAGTCTGTTGGAAAAAGTCAAAGATGAATATAAGGAGGCAGAAACTTATCTTAAAAAATTCTATTCAGAACGGGATGGTACAGATCAGACGGATGAGAAAGATAGCCTCGCAGAAAAAGATTAGATTACTGACGATTATATAAAATACGCGTTTATTACAGTATTTGTTAACTAGCACACACGTGTCACTACATGTTACATTTAATTAAAATAATTCAAAAATAATGCAACAAATATTATGTATTAATGATATAAAAGAAAAAAAAAAATCTTAATTAACATTTTATATATTAAATTTGGCTATATAAAATTGATAGCATAAAATATAAATAATATTTGTTAGTTTTAGTTTAGCACTCTCATTCTATGATTGATTAATAAATCTATAACGTTTAATAAAGTTCACTTGGTTATTGCCATCTGTGTACTGTATAAAACTTTCTAGCCATTAATATAATCGTACATTACGTTCGTACGTACGTGCGTACCTTTAT